TCACATCCCACTTCTTTCCATATTTGAATTTTTAAAATGTCCTATTCATCCTATTCTCAACTCCAACTTAACGTATTAGAAAGGAGTGAGAATTTTCAAACTCAGTTTACTAGAAAATAATTTTAAAGGGAAATAAGATTTCAAAACATAATGTCCTTGATGTATTTTTTGTTTTAGACAATTTACTCTGCCTACTTTAAAATGAGATTTGTAATTATAACAGAGGCATTGTTTGGATAATTAAAGGGATATGCCAGATTGTTTACATGGGTAGTCCTTACAGGAGCATGAACCTTTAATGTTGTATTAAAAGAAGGAAGTATGGCATAATTCTACAGAGGGCGGCAAGAACTTTAAAGTGTGGAAATTCATATGTCTAAATACCTACAAGTGAAAATTAATGAGTCATGTACTGAGAACAGAAAACTTTTTTTTTCTTTATCTGGGAACATGATAGAAGATGAGGACTTTTAGGGAAAGAACAAATTAGCAAAAGATCTTGAAGTTACAGTTGCAAAGTAAAGTTTGCAGAAGTGATTGAGACATAGAAATGTTTTTCTATCTTGTTAGTGAAATCTGCATTTCTCAGACTTTCTAAATCATTTCTCCCTATGAATATTGGAAAATTTTTCTGACTTAAGTTCTGACTAAATGACTGTTTACACTGCTAGCTTCCTAACTATGATACAGTGTTAGGCATCTCACAATCTCATCTATGAGAAATCGATACTGTGCAGTCAATACAACAGAGAAATTTCTATAGGAAGGAGCCTCATATGTAAAAGTGTTAGGTATTTGCATATTGGAAAATAAATTATTATGGCCCTTGAGAATATGCTAGACCAGATTCCCTGGCTGACTTTCTTATTAAAAATGATTTAAAATGTAGAATAAAGTATATTTTAAAATTGTTTTAGCACATTGATGTCCTTCAAAGTTATTAGACTCATGGATGAGAAATGAAGGCAAGAACCCTGAGGGGTAAGCAGAAGGCTGAAATCAACATTCCCCTTGAGGGTATCAGCTTTTATGTATTTGAGAGTAGAGGAGACAGGTAACAAAGCCCGGGCCTGCCCAAGTTGGAGAACATAAAGAAAGCAAAATTCAAGTATATTCTGTTTATAAAAGACTCAACAGAAACTAAATGATATAGAAAAACTCAAAGTAATAGAATACAAAAAGTTTTACCAAGCAGATACCAGTCAAAAGAAACTAGTGGCATAGCTATGTAGGTAGACATCTAGTAATTCTAGATATAAGAGGTTAATGTTTGGTACCGACAAGTACAGAATATAGCAATAAGAAGAAAGTGAATTAATATCCCCTTTCAGAAAAAGGGCTTGGCACTATCTTTTAAAATATTAGATTATATAAAATACAATATGCTTCAGCCCCACAAACCCATGTCTTTCATAATCTTTTCATCTTTCTTCCTTATGATTTAAAGACGTGATTTTGATGAGATTAAGGTTTCAGGAAGCAAACGATATAATAGATGATCGATCTAAAGTATATAATAATTTTTTTGTGGTTGTTAATCCTTATCTGAGGATATTTCCCCACTGATTTTTAGAGAGAAGAGAAAGGAGGGGGAGAGACAGAGAGGAACATCGATGTGAGAGAGACACATTAATTGGTTGCCTCCCACACTGCCTGCAACCAAGGTACGTACCCTTGACTGGAATGAAACTTGGGACCCTTCAGTCTAAGGGCTAACACTTTATGCACTGAGCCAAACTGGCTAGGGCTAAAGTTTATAAATGTAAAGGTGACACATAGTCAAATGGAAGAAAGAAAGTCAATAATGAATATAACTGAAGGAGGGCTGCAGAGTTAAAACATGGCCATTTTAAACAATCTGTGTTGGGTAGATATTAATGTTCAAGTGGAAAACTAGCTCCTATGACTGTTTGGAGGTCCCCCTTGTGGCTTGGAATAAACCCCTCCCTAACTCCAAAAACAAAACAAAACAACAAAAACCCATTCCCTCACTCCCTCCAGGAATTTCTCCCAGAAAATCAAGATAGTAGTACTTCCTGGTCAGGCTTGCTTCTCTGGAACCTCAAATAGACCCAATGACACAACAAGGAATGAAATGCAGAAGTGTGCACATGAGACAGGGCAAAGTCCTGTCATGGTGTTAAGTTGGACTCTCCAGGACTGAAGTGCCTATTCTCCCCACACAAACCCTGAAAGAGAACAAGCCATTGGTTCTTTCACCCCCCTCATGCGCGCGCCCCACCCCCCACCCGCCCCTGATTTGGAAGGTTTCTTGTTCTGAGAAGGTTGCAGAGATCACAAACTTCTCCCAGGAGGCTCTGTGGGGAATCAGGGAGGCACGGAGAAGCTGTGTTTGCTTATTCCATCAACTATTCATCATGTGATAACTTTCCCACAACCTGTTTGTTCATTTGAGGTAAAAGTAACTGTAGCCAAGTCTTATTTAGTATTGGGGTTCTGGCATGTACCATAAAGCTTTTGAAATACCACACTAGTAAGAACAATACATTAAAAAAAAATCTATTTGTCAAAACATTATTGATACATTAATTCTTATGTTTATTCTCATTAAATAATAAAATTGCTTCTTTCTGACCTCAATGCTTAAGAATCTGAAAAAAATTATAAATATACTTAAATAAGGAACTAAAAAAAGAGAGTTAAGAAAACATGGAAAATTATAATATACTAGGGGCCCAGTGAATGAAGTTGTGCACCTTGGAAGGAACTGTGGGCCGCAAGGCTGTAGTAGGTACAGGGGCAGGTTTTGGTCCATCCTTTGCCCCCCTGCCCAGGCCTCTCCTGCCTCAACCTCACCTCTTCCCGGTCACCTGTTTACCAGCAGCCCCGCTCCCGCTGCCACCACTCCCACGCACTGATGGTGCTGGCCCTGCTCGCAGCTGCTGAAGGCGCAAAGCAATTGGGGCTGGCACCATCAGTGGGTGCAAATGGCAACTGCTGCCCTTATCACCCCATTGATGGTGCCAAGTGATTGGGACCGGCACCTGGTACTGGCAGCAGGTACAAATGGCAGCTCTGGCACCAGCTGTGGGTGGGAATGGGGTTGGCACTGGCGGTGGGTGGGAGCAAATGCTCCAGCACAGGCAGCAGGTTCAAGTGGGGCTGTCACTGGCAGCAGGTAAGAGAGGTAGCTGCCAGCCCTGATCTCCCCTCAGGAGCAGGGGGAGGTGGAGAAGCCCTGAGGGGCAATTGAGGCCAGCAGCACTGCTCACATCTGCTGATAGAGCCAAGCAATAAGGGCCAGCACCAGGCGCAGGCAGCTGGTGTGAGCAGTGCTGGTGCTGGCATCAGGTGCAAGCACTGGGTGGAACCGCAGTGCATGGGAGCAAAGAATTCTCAGTAACCACCAGAGGCTCGCCCCAATGACAGCAACCGGTGCCCCACCTTGGTCTGGCACCCCTGTTCACCTGTTCCATGCACTCCCCATGGTGATCAGCTCACATCATAGTGACCAGTTGTTCGATTGTTTGGTTGTTCCACTGTTCAATCTATTTGCATACTAGCCTTTTATCATATAGGATAAAGTATTGTGCAAAATAAAAAACTTTGATTATTTATGGCACAGTTGATGGCACAGTTCTACCAAAACTCATATACATTTTACTAATTAATTTATATATTGTCACAATGGGAAAAAACAGTAGTCTTTACTCTTTCAATTTCCTTATGCAAAAGTTTGTATAATTCCAGAGGAATATCACTAAGGTGTTATACAGATCTTGGTGGGACCCTGACAAGGTCCAATCTATAGTCAAGATGCTTCAAAGATTCCAAGAAATTATTTGAAAACAATCTTAACAAAACGTGTATTGGGTCATGCCCACGGTCCATCTGAATTGTATTCTGTCTCTGACTGAGAAAGGTCATAGACTTTATGATATCACTCCAAAAGGGGTTGTATAATACCCCCCACTGACCCCTGGCCCATTATGCCAGCTTCCCTTAATAACCCAGACAAATTAATCATCGCCTCATTTATTCACAACTTTTTTATAACTTATTTATACTACAAATTGATCCATATGTGGGATCATTAATTTATTACATGTACTGCCTGGATGTAGAGGGGTGTTTTCTTTATTCCAAATATCTTATTCAAACATTTAAGAGAAGCATTTAGAAAAGCATTTAGAGATCAAGAGGTTCCCTTAAAACACAAAGAAATACTAAAATTGAGTTACAAAAAGATGATGCATTTAAATATTTACATTAAACCACTATTTAACCCAAATATACACAATATAATCTAATTATTTCAAAATATTTATAAATAATGCAACTGTGTATGGATTAAAGTGGTGTGGTATTTCCTTTACCTCTGTGACTACAGATTTTACTTCCTTTCAAGGTGACCTCAAAAGGTGATCCTTGAGGCTCTTCATGAATGTGAGGCTCAAGCCAAGAGGCCTCCTGGCCTCCTGGATAAACTCTGACATCTAGTTTCTAATAATCTGAGATTTGGTGACAGAGCCTCTGTTATCTTGGTATTTGCTTTATATTTAATTCAGATTTTCCATAAATGGTAATAATTAAACTACTCAGGCTAAGTTCAAGGACAAGGAGAGTGGGAGATAGCAGGATGCAAATGAACGATTTATTTCATGGATTTGCAGTAAACTGGTTGGGGAAACTCCAGGATAAGAGGCAAGGTTAAAAAGCAGCAAAATAGCAAAAGAGTGGCATGATGTGAAGCAATGTGGACAGTTTGTGCTGCAGCTAAACTATTACAGGTATATCTCTATGTCTATATCCACATCTCCCCATATCCTCAGAAAAGTTTACTTTTAAAGGGGCTATGAACTGGCCTCACCCTGCCTTCAATGCCATACACTGGTCCACTAGAGACCATAGCTTAGAACAGGCAGCTGTGCCGGCTGATTTCCTGAGGCTTCTTAGACAAAATATCTGAAACTCTAACCTGAGCTTTGCTAATTCAAGCCGATGTAATGTGCATCTGATGTGCTCTTTGTGTTGACCATTTACATCCTAGCCAGTAGCCAAGTCCTTAGAGTGGGAAGATTCTTCTCCAGCCACTTAATATTTTTGGATATGGTTTCCAGAACAATTTGAAAAATATCCAGATGTAATCCTTGAGCTTTAAGAGAATCAAAGAACAGTTTCACCTGAAAAAAAATAAGCAAGAAAAGAATTACTGACATGGTTAAAAAACACTTTCTCTTCCAAAGGGTTTCAAACAGCTTGCAAATTATACAGACACAGGTGCAAGCATTCCTCTGTCAATCTCTAAAAGGTTATTCTTTTTTTTTTTTTTTTTTTTTTTTTTTTTTTGCAGAGTTAGTACTTCACTTTATCTTCAAACAATAAAGACAGAAATGATAAACCCTTATCTTACAAGTGAGCGCACTGTGAGAAAAAAGCTGTGATTAAGCCAAATCATTGAGTTTGTAGTGAGCTGGATTAAGTTCTAGAATTCTGAGTTTGCTTAAAGTGTAAATAAATTCAGGATTTATTGTGGAAAGAAGATATAAAACATCAGAATGCTTCAAAAAAGGACAAGTAGAATTACCAACAATAGGAGTTGTTAAAAACCTTTAAGAACTCTTTCAATCTTCAATATAATCATTCATGATGCTATAATAATGAACAAAATAACACAAAAGGACTAATCTCTCAAGGGTAATTTTCATTTCAAATGCTATATATTTTAAAAGGTTCTACCCCTTTGCCTTCCATTTACTTGCTACATAACATTGGAAAAATAAATTATTTTCTTTCAATAAAATCAGAACTTCAAACAAGATTGCACCTGTTGACTTTCAATTCAACCACTTGAACATTTATTTTTAAACTAGAGGCCTGGCACATGGATTCGTGCACGTGGAGTCCCTTAGCCTGGCCTGTGGGGATCAGGCCAAAACATTCGCCATGGGGTCCCAGATTGCAAGAGGGCACAGGCCAGGCCAAGGGACCCCCACCAGGGCATGATCAGGGCCAGGAAGAGACCATGGGAGGACTCCAAGGCATGTCCAGCCTATCTCACACAGTCCGGAAATGCTGGACCCCAGCTGAAAGCTAACCTACTAGTCAGAACATCTGTCCCATGGTAGTCAGTACATGTCATAGCAACTGGTCAAACAGTCGAATGGTTGGAGGGACAATTAGCATATTAGACACACACACACACACACACACACACACACACACACACACACACACACACATATATATAATGGGTAGCAATAGTCACAAACCTCTTGTAACTCATCCTTGGAAGAAAAGTGAGATGTTGTGCCAGAGATGATTATTCTCATATCAAATGAGCCCAAGCCAAATCTGAAAATAAAAGGGAATTTGAGTAATAGAAATACTGATCTTATGTTTATTATATCATCATATACTTTTTAAATGTATAACATTAATAACTATATGATAAGCTTGTATACTTACAATAGGCAGTATTAATTACCATAAGAATAACTTATATTCACCCAGTAAAATCCCCAAGGTATGAAATTTATCAAACTTGACCATGAAATTTATCAAACTTGTCCATAAAATTAAAATGTAGATAAGGTTGTCCTAGACAGTGTAGCTCAGTTGGTTGGAGTGCCGTTTGCATACCGAAAGGTCTCTGGTTCAATTGCCGGTCAAGGTACATACCCAGGTTGCCGATTACCCAGCATGTGTGGGGGGATCAGGGGGAGTGAGCATGTGGAAAACAACTGACAGATGTTTCACTCTCACATCAATGTTTCTCTGTCTCTCTCCCCCTCCCTTTCTCTCTCTCTAAAATCAATTAAAAATTGTTTTAATATAGATAAAGCTATTTTAGGAAATATGACTATCATATTCAGCAATGTTTATATTTAAATTTATGTTTAAAGCAGCATTCTCTACATTTTGGGGGGAGTGGCTATGCACCCCAGCAGTAAAGGTTCTTGGACCAGTAACTTCCCAAATTACATTTTATATGTGAATTAGATGCACTAAAGGCAAAAAAAAAAAGTTAAAATGGCATAATAAACAATATATGTGGTAATATTTTCTTCTTGCACTATCTTATTCACTTCCCAGTCCATTTTGGATACCATTGTGCTTAAACCTTGTATTTATTAGGGAAATGTTACTTGGTTAAGCACTCATTTGTAGCTACAGACTGCATCCTTCACCTAGTGTCTTATATAGAGAATTCATTACACAGGTCAAAGGGATTCATGCTGGAAAGCAGAGCACAGATACATCTAAAAAATGGTTCCAAGTCTAGTGCAGATGGTCAGACAGGGGGATAATTCCCAATTACAAAGGAAATCCACAGCATTGTAGAAAAAGTTTGATCATTCAGGAGGGAACTGACAGTCATGTGAACAACCGGACCAATGGTTCCAGTAGGGATTTTAAGGAAACACTCTTTTTTTTTTTTTTTTTTTTCTTTAACAGCAGTTTCTAACTGTTTGGTTTCAGGTGGATGTCAACCTCCCCCTTGAAGGTCTGGGAGAAGGATATAAAATGGTTCTTTGCTTACACAAAGCTGTCTGTGAGGACTCTGAGTCTTTTATGGTTAAGAAGTGACAGATAAGAGGAAGTGGGGATAACTGACTTCAGAGATGCTAACTGACACTGTTTATCTTAAAACAGAAAATTCCACAGCTCTTTTATACAGAGTATTTTCCATACAGTATTTCATAAGTGACATTTTGGATGTGGATAAGGAAATGGCTGAGCACCTTAGCAGGGGGTTTGTTGTGAGAGAAAGCAATGCCATTCTGTCCATTTCAATGAAATGTGATTATTACTAGGTGTCCCCCACCACCACCCCTGAGGATATGTTAGGCCCAGGAGCATACTGGAGTGAGCTCTGGTTCTCCCAAAAGTTGAAACCCCAGAATAGACACAGAACCAATCTAAAACACTTCTAATCAGATTTCTTTCAGCCATTCTACATTCCCTGCTGCTCCACCTTTTCAGGTAAACTGAGGGTGGGGATTAGCTCTCATCAAAATGCCCCCAGAACAAAAAGCAAGCCAAATATGTGTGATGCTCTATATATAGATTCATTGAAGTCCTCAGGGCTGGTGAGACAGCGAAGAGATAGGGGAATGAGGCTGATGACTGGATTTAACTCGTCTAGTATTTGCTTCTGGCAATTCTTTGCCTGCGATGAATAAGAGAAATCTGTTTCCCATTCCCTTCTGCTCATTCTTCTCCCTTACACCTGGACAGAGTAATTTGTGTTAGTCAGTTTTAAACCCAATAGACTTTCTTGAACCATTTGTGTGAAATGGTATCATTTATATGCTTTGGGGGACATTTGATTACAAGTGGTGTTAGGCAACTGAGACAGCGGGGTGAAAGAACACACAATGGAGATAAGCCAATACCAACTTTTTAAGGAGATGGGTCCAATTTTCTCTTACAAAATTCCAGGCTAATTGCTGTCCCTTTGGATTTCTAGCAATTGCATGAAGAAGAGATGCTAAGTCCTGTGTCTTGATAATCTTTCCTTCCATTCCTAGTTCAATTAATCTGAAGAAATAAAAACCACATGAATTTTCATGGCAGGTGTTATGTAATGATAATTAACTCACACTACGAATATGTTAAAAGAACAGGAGAGAAAGAGGCATGATAAAATATAATTGACCAAAAAAGTAATAAATTCTCTACTGGCTAACATTCTTAATGTTCTAGTTAAACTTTTACTTTTTTTTTTCTAGCAGTAATTTTAGTCACTTATTATTTCAAATAACTTTGATAAGATGAAAGTATCTTATATACAGAAATGTACTTGTGCAATAATTTTCCTCCAAGGTTCTGTAAGTAAAACTAAGCCATTTGTCTAATATCACTCACATGTTTAATAACTACATTTTGCTATTTACATTTTGACAATATTTTTTTTTTAAGTCTAAGCAATTCAAATCCTGATTTAATTAACAAATGCCTTTGAAACTGGTGGCTAAAATTTTAGTGATTTCACTAAATTTGTATCAGTTTACTTTTAACCATTTAATTAAAGTTATGCACTTACTTCATTAACTTTTCCTGGTGTTTGCTGGTTGACAATGCATACAGAATTTTGTTTTTTTCAGCACCTGACATTGACAGTTTATATTGCTCCAAAAGGTAATTCCATCCTTCTGTTGTCTGAGCACCCACGGAATACACAATCTTTAAAACATCTGTTGGGATACTGTGATATTAAGCACAAAAGTAAAGAAAAAAGTTTTATGAAAGAAAGATTATTTTTTCTTATTGTGTTTTAAAATTTCTATAACAGAATCACCCCTGACTTATTCCCAGTAAATAGCATACTAAACCCTCTTTCTGCCAAACTTTCTCAAAGGTGAAAAAACTAGCTATTTTGGAGATAAGTTTTAAACCTGTGATTCTAATGTTTGTGGGATTTCCATTAGACATACTTAAATATCCCAAGTGCCATTTGAATCATAAAACAAAGATTAAGTAATTAAATTCTAATCCACATTGCTATGATTTTAGTGTACTTGTCTGTATAATTTTATTAAAATTGGAAATTAATACATCCTAAGTTCATTGTAGATAGAACACATAGTAGTTTTGACCACTACTTTACCCTTAACACTTACAGCAGTGCTTGCCACAAAAGTGAAATGCAAAGTATTATATTTTAAATTCATGAATGAATAAAGTAATTAATTAAGTAATCAATCTATGTAAGGAATTCTTCATTAGGATTAATACTAATGGTCTTAAAGTTTAGCAAAGACAAAACAAAACAAAAAAATCAATAATCTACAATATTTAATTATTGGTTCTTGATCCTACTTAACACGTGGAACCATCATATCTAGTGTACATGGGTTACTTCGGGTGAAGTCATCCCTCTTATGCCTAGCATGAATACAATAGTAAATAGTATTCCATTATGTTATGGGACAGCAGGATGTTTACATTTTAGCCTTACTCATAATAACCAATCAAAAAGAAGAGAAAAATAGAGCTTAATATGTTAGGAGTAAATCATAAAGAGCTGAAAAGTCCCAAAAGAAGAAAATTGGAATTTTTTTTTAAGGAATAATTTGCCCAGCTTGCTTGGCTCAGTGGTTGTGTATTGACATATGAACCAGGAGGTAGGTCATAGTTTGATTCCTGGTCAGGGCACATGCCCAGGTAACAGGCTCCCTCCCCAGTGTGGAGCATGCAGGAGACAGCCAATCAATGATTTTCTCTCATCATTGATGTTTCTCTCTCTCTCTGCCTCTCCCTTCCTTTCTAAAATCAATTTTAAAAATACATTTTTAAAAGAAATATTTCAAAAACTTGCTGAGATTTAGTTACATGGAGAAAAGTTATGATAGCATATCATAGCAATTTTAAACAGCATATCATAGCAATTTGTTATGACATCATTTCATAACATGATACTAAAATGGTGAATTTTTTTCTTCTACTTAAAAAAATGAATCTCCTTTAATTTACATAAAGATTTGATTTCTCAAAACATCCAACTCCAGAGTCAGAGTTTTAACAATAACAATATAAAACCATGTGTTGATCAGAAATCAAGGCTTACAATGAAATGATTGCAGGCAGAGTCTGTTAGTGCCTATGAGTTGCAGCCACATAATTGAAGTGCAATATAATACACTGGATCATGGGGCGTTTTTCTCATTTCACCAACCATGAAATCAATTTTGCTACCATGCACATTCTTTAAATGGCTCAACTCATTTGTTTCCCATCAAAGTGGGAACTTGGGGCCCAGACTTGGTCGGTGGTATTGGTTAATGAAGAAGTAAACACATTTTTTTTACAAGGCCACCCCCCTCTTCTTTCACAAGTTTCCCCAATTGATCACTGAGGTTTTAATTGCATATACATTGTACATTGCTTTTTTATCTTTAAAGGGCATCATTTTTGGAGATGGATGTTCCTCTGCTCCCACAGTCTGGCTAACTTTCTGGTACCATGTCAATGTTTATTTAGCTCTCTCCTATAGAGACTTAAACCTCACTTTCCACAAAATCTATTGAGCACTTACTATGTGAGAGCATGAAACAAGAGTATATAATTCCCCGTGTGTTTTTTTTTTTTTCTATTTTTACTAAAAGGTTTTGGCTCTATTGTCCTGCATGATCAAAGACTTTTACATTAGTGGAAGGAACAACCTGGATCGGCCAGCGTGGCTCAGTGGTTGAGCATGGATTTATGAACCAGGAGCTCATGGTTCAGTTCCCAGTCAGGGCACATGCCTGGGTTGTGAGCTCAATCCCAGTGTGGGGGCTTGATTCTCTTTCATTATTGATGTGTCCCTCTCCCTCCCTCTCCTTTCCTCTCTGAAATCAATCAACAAAATATTTTTTTTTTAAAGTGGAAGAAATAAAGAATAGGACAGAAGTCTAGATTTACTTTAATTTCCCGCTGGATTCCATCCACTGAGAGAAGAGGTCAGTTGCCTTCTGAATGCAAGGAGCATGGGTCAGGTCACACGCCAGCTTCAGCAGGGCGGAGCGAAGCATCCTGTCCCAGACGGAGCCCTCGTCGCTCCAGCTTTGCGTGTCAATCACTGGCTTGAAATACTGGAGAAGGTAATGCTGCAGAAAGCACAGGATGGCTTACAGAGAGGCTAAATTTAGTTCTTAACACAGCTCTGACCCATCTAAAGGCTCACCGCTAAACTATCTGTATGAACCTTTCCCAAAACACAGAACGACTTATATTTCTCTTCTCTTCTTTTTTTTTTTTTCTGGCTCCAACCCACCATGCTTAAGAAACAAAGGTAGTTTCTCCATTAAACATATGATTTAATTTCCTCTTTGGGAGGGACCTATCAACTGATGATATAAGATAAAATCACCTTAGGAGGGATGTTTTTGCTCATGATCCTGGTACGACTCTTAGAATGGTGATGACAAGCAAGAAGGGGCATCCACCCATTAGGTACTGTTGTGTTAATTGTGCTATCAGCCAGTATCCTCAGCTTCTCCAAAATGTAACCCCAAGAGTCCACACGAAACAGACCAAGTCTCATTGATCCTCCAGACACTGTGTATTTACTTAATGAATTTTCTAAACGTAATACAAACCTTGAGGTTTTCAGAGACATCTGAGATATTGCGTCTGTCCATCATGTGGTAAAACAATTCTAAGTATTCCAGACCTTTGAGCAGGGCAAGGCTGCTTGTTTCATGTTGGAGATAGCGGGTCAGGTCGAGAGCTTTGTCTAGGGTCAACCTTCCTGCACTGAGGAATAAAGCAAATGTAGGTGGTTTGTGTATATCTTTTAGTTCTTAATATTAACTATGATATAGAGAGCCATAACAGAAGTTCATTATAGCCAGTCCATTTGGTTTAAATCCTAGCTGTGCCACTCACTAGATGTGTGATCTTGGGAAAATTATCTAACCTCTCTGGGATTCAATTGCCTTCCTTATACAATGGGGAATCTGAAACTAAAAAATAATTAAATTAAAGAGAACCAACTTCTATTTTGACTTCACTCTTCTAACATGCTGTTTTAAACAACCTAATGGAAAGTTGCCCCAAATTTTTGTCTAAAGACAGAGGGCTGGACCATATGGGCTGCTGTATTTTATAAAACACAAATCCACATAATGCCATTATTCCTTTTCACATGTGTAAGCATCATAATCTAGGGTGCAATTGATACCCTTGAGCATCAGCAACAGAAAGAAAATGGCTATTATTTTCTATGGTCACAGTTTTATAAGGAATGTTTAACACATAACAATTACTTTATATTATTCTTGGTGTGTGTTTTTTGTGTGTGTGTGTGTGTTTTTTGCCAAGACTACTTTATTTTTCAATAAGACAAATACCATTATTAGAAAACTTTATATAAGCCTAGATTTAAAAAAATTCATCTTAATACTCATTTAAAAGAGATTCCTTTTCTTTTTATTCTGTTTTATATATATATATATATATATATATATATATATATATATATATATATATATGTGACCATTATGGCCAAATGAGCAGAACTACCAGGAAGACCAGTAGACCAGTCATTATGATGTGCACTGACCACCAGGGGGCAGATGCTCAATGCAGGAGCTGCCCCTTGGTGGTCAGTGTTCTCCCACAGCCAACCTCCTGAGGCCAGCCAACCTCCTGTGGTCTCTACCCCTGGCCAGCTGGCCCTGATCAGCCCCTGGTGCTAAATCATTCGTAGATGACCTGCTTCTAGGTCAGGGTTTCGTACATAGCAGAGCAGCTCCCTTGTTGCAATCTATTGAAAGTCAGCCCTCAACACAAGAGTTTGTCTCACTCTCATCTTCCCCCTTCCCCAGGGGCTTCCCGCCTACCATGGTGGCAGCAAGGTGGGAAGGGGAAGAGGAGAGGGGGTGGGGAACAGAGTGGTGATGGGGCAGCATTCAACATTAATTCCTTCTGCGCCCAGCCCTGTGTCCATCGCCTCTTCTCCCGGCTGGGACAGGGAACTGGGGGAGGGTGGCAGTGGATGCAGCCCCTTTCCCAGGGATCTGAAAGTCGGCTCTCTCCTTGGAGCTATCAGCCAACCTCCCACGGTCATAGAATAGGGAAGGAAGAGATATATATTACCAAGGAAGTCTAGCAAGTAAAAATGTTTAGACTTATTATGAGAGTTTTAAATTATATCCTTATACAATTCATTTTATTATTATAAAAGTAATATAAACAAGTTACAAAATAATTGGAAATTAATGAAGAGGGGGGAAATACTTATAATTCACTATACTGGAATATATCCTTCTGGTTTGGTTTGGGTTTTTTTTTCCCTCCACGGTTAGCTTATTTTTTTTTTCCTATGTAGTTAAAAGCATAACAATACACAAACACATATTTTAAAAGCATTTTTTTCAACTTCACATTATTTGGAATGCATTTTTCTATGTTGTCACCTCCTCTTCCTATTCAACACTTGATCTTTTAGACAATGTATACTAGGTAATACTAATAATGCTAACAGCTGACATTTATTGGGCAGGTACTGTGCTTTGGTGTTTTATCTGCCTTATTGTATGCAATCTTTAAAACACCTGTGAAATAGATATTATTACTTAGATCTGGAGTTTTAAAGACTAGGAATGTGTTAAAGACTAGAAAATTTAGGCTTAAAACAGTTAAGTTACTTGCCCATGTTAAACAGTAAGTGAGGAGGTAATATTTGAATTAATCTGTTTTAAACCAAAATTTGTACTCTTAATTAACTTCATTAACCTGTTCATTTAGTGAAGAAAAGATAATTGCCTTTCCATTGATACATCAGTAACTGTAGTGTTCTTTCTGCTAAATTTAGTCTACCCAAACATCTATAGGTTAGAAACAGCAAAAAAGACTTGGCTGCTAATGGAAAGATTGGCCTTCATTTGCTGAATTGTCAATAATCCTCATCCTTTCTAGTCTTAAATTTTTAATCTACTTTTATGCAATCTGTGAGTCGCTCCTTTGAGCAGACAAACCTTCAACAAGAAATAGCCTGCTAGTCTGTTATGTATCTACTCAAATGAAAGATGGTGCTTTCTTCTAATCCTAGCCTTCAATGGATGTGCTATGATGCTTTGATGTTCCTGAGTCCCATGGGGCTGAGGATTGAACTCTCAATCCTTTCTCTTTTCTAATGTAGGACGTCAGTTGTATGAAGGAGAAGCTTTGTCTGAGAAATGTTCTGCTGGTTGTTTTTACTCAGGTTGACCTAAATAAACATCTGAAAGGAAATAAAATGAGTAATTCTCAGAAAAGAAAAAATTACAATGCACAATACTTCACCTGATCCCTACATTTTTTTCCCCATTGGCCATCTTATGATCTGATTTTTCCTATATGTTATTCATTGAGGATAAATGGGATAGGAAAGGAAATACTTTGTCTTTCCAGGAAAGTCTAAAGAGAAATAAACATAAGAAGCCAATTCTTCATTTCCTTTCCAATTTTACATTGATTTCTCTAATGTGAGCACAGTAATGAATGGGTTATTGTACTGAACTAAAATCTCATTTAAAATTGTAAAGTTTAAGACTATATTTATAATTTTTGTCCAACAGAATACATAGGTTTTGGTAAAACAGCAAGCTACTAGCATAAACAAATTTTAAATCTGGGGTTAAAAGCCTAAACATAGAGGTTTCACCCTAATAGTAAGTGAATAAATCAAGACATTCATGTTTACTGTCGGGGACTGGGGCATATGGAAGAGTGCAGACCTGGCATACAGGGGATCTTCCTACTGCACCCTCCTCTATGATTGCCCTGTGAGAATGAAGGTCCAAAGCTGCCAAATCTTCTCATTTTTAAAGAGATTCCAGAAGTCAGGATTTTTATATGAAATTCTTCACGTTTTAAAACATTGGATTAAACATCTAAGCTTGTGTGTGCCAAAATACCTTATCAGTGGGTAGGCTTTGGCCTAATGGCAAATATTTGGCTTCTGTTCAGGTCCAAATCATATGAATGATAAAACACTGAATGTTTGATTTTGAAATCAGTATATCTGGTTATGAATCAGTTATTTCCTGTGAAATCAGATAAACTTTTACATTACCTTACTAGCTGAAACGCATCGTGGATCAGACCTGTTCTGTCCTTGGGTCTGAAAAGTGTATGGTTCTGATTCAGCTGTTGAATGAGTTGGTCCCATCCATGCCCCTCATAATGAACAATATAGTAGCCATTTGAGTTCACATTGAATTTCACCCAGCTGGTACTTTCAGGTAAGTCCAGAATTTCTGAGAGGAGGAAATTGGCATAGACATTTCATTATCAGCATACACCCCAGGATTATTTTCAAAGCTGTTAGTTTATATACTATTATTAATAAATCAATAAGAAGACAAAGTTTTGGAAGAGTCATGATGATATTGATTTTCATAATCTACTGAATGGTTTCTGCTGGAAATAATGGTCTTATTAAAGTAATAAATAAATTAATTCATATGAAAAGGACTACTAAATTAGTTCTCAAAAACAGTCGATGCAGGTCTAAGAGGCATGCAAGGGTCCAATGAGCCAGATGATGAGCATGACTAGAATTTGGCTTGATTTATTGGTGGCCATGTCTCCAGGTTTAGTTACTGAAATATGTATATGTAAATAGTTGATCCACTAGTTCAGTCCTTATTTGACGTGAAATTAGGACTCCAGGTTGAATATGATGCTATGATAAAAACTCAAATTTTAGTGAAGTGTTTCAGGAAAAATTGAAATATTAAGTGTTTTTAATATGAAAGACATTATACTTGGTGATAAAATATCATTATCATATTATCTTGATAACTGTTGAAGGCCAGTCCTCATTTAAAATAAGATGAAAAACTTGAAGCTCAGGAAGAGTTGAGCATTTTTCTTAAGGCCACAGATCTAATAGATGACAGAATGATGATATAAATCCACGGACAATAAATTCCTAAGTGTATGCTTTTTTCTACTATACAAGTTTACCTTATGGTTTCACAGCTGGATTTAAGTATTAAAAGGCAAGACAGGAAGCCATCATTTCTTGATATCAATAGGATTTATTTCTGAATGTTAAAAGCACAAGAGAACCACACACTGAATGAAAAAATTTACTTCCTAGCTAAAATGTTCTTTCTGTAACTAGTAAGTGGATAAATGAGAAATTCCCCAAATTTACATTTTTATTAGTAGTATCTTTCCTCCAAATAGTTCAGAACATATTTAATTTAAGAATTGAAACATGTTTGGCTAATCAGTTCATTACCTGTCTTTGATTTTAAAATGTGTCTGTGAATCACATCAGAGGAACTCGTGGAGTAGGTCAATGGGATGTGCCAAAGGTACCTATGTGAGAAAGTACAGACCGCTACAAATTAAATAAATTACTATTTCAATTCTCACACTGTCAGATTCAGATAAACTGTAAAAGGCACCTAACTGCCCATCCTTTACATTATCAGGGGCCTTATAAATTTTATTGGCTAAGTCTAGCAGACCCTTGGGCATGCAATAATTCTTCCAAGATGAAGAACTGAAGGCGTAGCAACATATACTAGTTGAATTCTGTCACAATTACCTGTGCCATTTGCTGTATAAATCTCATACCATAGTAAGTTCTGATCATTGTTTTCTATAAAGAAGGAAAAAAAATCCAAAAATCCTTACATATTTCCCAAAACTCAGACAGCCTGATACTAATGCAAATATCTGAATCAAAGCTGTAAGAAAAAAGCTTTAAGAAGTCTAAATCTCATTCCAGTATGACCTTCCACTCATCCTTTTGCTCAATAAAGCTAACCCCATCCAACCGCCCATCTGCTAAGGGACTGTAAATAGCCAACAGTTTAGGAACTGCAAGTCAGCAAGTCCAGAGAGCAGAAAAGCAGCATGGATAGAAGCCTCAGTTACTTTCCAATAGTCCTTTTATGTTAAATAACAGAAACTGGCTATATTTTTCCTTGCCGACTTTCTAGATACTTCCAGAATTTACTTCTTTAACACATTAAGCCATAGTAACCTTAGTAATCCAGCGCATGTAAACTATGGGTTTAAAAGCATTATCAGGTATACAATGGAAAGGAGAGAGTCCTTAAAATATATAAAATTAAAGGAAACAATATACACAGACTATATAAACCCTATCTAAAAAAGGGTCATAAAGGGATTATCTCTCTAACTCACAAAAAGTACAGCTAATTAATAAAGCAACTGAAATATTTACACAAAAATGGTAAAAATGGACACACAGATATAGCCAAGACAATGGAATGATTCCTGGATGAAATCTTAGCTCTGGAAGAAAGGGATGCTTCCAGATAAACATATCTGGGAATAAAAAGAGGAAGATTAGCATTTCATAAGTTTGAATAGGCATGAATCAGAGAATAATAATTTTAAAGAATAATCTAAAAGCTGCCACAAGAAGAAGACAAAATACAGGTCATTGTAGATCTTTGTAAGTCTGGATCATACACACTATTGAACTCTCTCGTGACATTTTGATAAGTTACAAAATTCTGAGTCCTGCTTTCCCAATGATGAATCAAATATAAAAATGTCCAGGCTGTGTTGCCAAGTCACAAATTATCTAAGCTCAGTGAGGTTCAGACTTCCGGAGAACATACAGAAAAACAGAAAACTGTGTCTCAGAGAAGCAACATAAACGTTGCTATTGGGTTGGGAATAGGTAACGGATGAAACAAAAGGAGAAAACATTCGCTTTCTATGTGCATATTCTACCTGGTATATGCTAGAGACCTTGAATTTGCTTATGGCTCTCAGAAAAATCCTAGAATTGTCATTTGACAGCTAGATCTTTAGAAAAAGAGAGATAATAATCATAAGAGGCAGTACAGATTCACTTGGGTTGTTTCATTTTAAACGAACCTAATTCCTCTTGGTAATAGGCTAATAGATCAGAGAACAGTATTGTGTTCTCTCAGGACAGGCTGGTGAGCAAGACAGGGTGGTTAATTGGATTTGCTTTAATTATCACCAAGGACAGCATATGTTTTGAGACATAACATTTATAGTCTATTTACTGAAAATAAAAAGGCAACAGGAGGTCTTAGCATTTAATTAATCACATGGGGACTATACTTCCTAGGTAGAGGCCAGTCACGCAACTTAGTAAGGCCCAGAAAACTAGTATTGAAAAGAGTCAGGAGATGTTATAATGGAAATATAATCGACCACCACCTCTGCGTCAGAACGGAGTTTCTACAGGCGGCTGCAGAAGCACGAGGAAAGCAACGGTGAACAACACCGCCTGGGCCACCTGCAGCTCTTTAAATGTGATCAAGGCTAGTTTGGGGCTTGGATCCCTGTGCGAGATAGTAGCCCGCGGTCGCCAGAGAAGCTGAAAGAAAGTTAATGCCACAAGGAGCAAACTGAGCTGAGGTAAATTAGACAGGCAGAAAAGTACAAGCAGCCACCTTTCCTGCAGGGCCCTCCAGGCTGGGTCCTCTCTGAACACCCCGCTCAGGAAGCGCTCCTGTCGCAGCCTGAGTGAACGTCCTTCTCGCTCCACCACCACGAGCGGGATTCCTTTCTGCAGGGTCCACGTAGCCATCATCTCTCTGACCTCCTCATCTTCCCCCTGAAAGAGGAGCTGAAAGGACAAGTGACTGTGATTAAGTCAACTCAGAGGAGAGAAAACAAAGGGAGATGCGAAATTTGGGGTCCTTGTGATGCCAGAGACCAGGCTGGGGGAGGAGGGCGGGCTCGGGCTGCCTCTGGGCAGAGCAATGCGGGGACTGGACAGGGCTGCTCTCAGCCAGGCACCTGAGGGAGGGATGTGAGTGGGAGCCTGAGGGTGAGCACACACATGGTGGGGAAAGCCAAGAGGAAGGGTTTGAGGTTGGAGCCTTCCTCCTGTTCCAAACAAGAAAAGAAACCCCTCTCGGTTTGGTAGTGGTGGTACCCAGGGTGGGTGGTCTAGGAGAGAAAGGGCTTCCTTGAAGGGAAGCTTTAAATGTTCCAACAGAACCCTATATCAACAGAGGTAGATTAATGGAGAACAAAACCTCTAGCTTCTTAGCATGGCTTTCTGAAAACTGGGTGATCCAGAATCTTCCTTTAGAATACATCATTTATGGGATTACCATGACTGTTCAAAAAAGAGTTTGCTTTTTCGTTGTGTTGTTTTTGATGACTTTTTTTCTCTCTCTCCGAAAGCGCTCCAATTACTTCCCAGAAGTAAACAAGACCAGTTCTCAGCAAAGCCAAAAGCCATTTGCTCTGTTTCCAAACCTAGCATATCCCGCTTGGCAGTTTTCAGAGCCTAGAGGATGCCAGCGCCTCGGTAAGCACTCAGCGGAATTTAAAGCTTTGATATTTTTAGCTGGCCGTGGGGCTGTGGGAAAGCTGAATTATAACAACAAAAATGTAGTAGTAACAGCGTCATCCCCCTAAATGGCCTGGACATTCCTCCTTCAGTCTGCTTTGTTTCAAGGGAAATCCTGGAGGCTCTCCTCCTCTCCAGTTATTTAAAGGGACAGTTGGGCTATTCTGCATACTCAATCCCGCCAGGTGATGGGGCCAGATCCGTGATCGGCAAACTGTGGCTCTCGAGCCACATGCAGCTCTTTGGCCCCTGGAGTGTGGCTCTTCCACAAAATACCATGGCCTGGGCCAGTCTATCTTGAAGAAGTGATGTTAGAAGACATTTAAGTTTAAAAAATTTGGCTCTCAAAAGAAATTTCAATTGTTGTACTGCTGATATTTGGCTCTGTTAACTAATGAGTTTGCTGACCGCTGGGCCAGATCTTGTCTGCTCTGTAGATCTCTTTATACTTACTGTGCTGCTTATCCTCTTGGAATCAGAATAACAAAATCCACCAGATGTAAAATCACCTTCTAAACAACCCTATAAAACAAGAATAAAGAGCATTACCATGTGGACACTGCCAGTTGGCCGACTATGCATATTAGACATGAATGCAGACATTTACTAGCATAGCATATATGAAAATTTAATTCATCTAGACATTTGATAATGAACATAGCAACTCATGGAATGAATAAAAGGCATCTTCGCAGTGACCATAGGAAACCCACAAAGTTAGTTCATAAATTGCTGTATTCTTTATCATGTCCAGATGAATTAAATCTTCATCTATATACTTAAAGTTTGCTAAAGAAGTTCACCACAGTGGGATAACTGTTTTAGGGTTGAATCAATTTGTTGAATTTTTCTTTCATTTGTTTCCTTTCCCTGGGAAAGGTCCTAGTTTATCCTTTTATTCTGCATATTACTCATGCCCTTATTTATCACTTAGGCAACTGTGTCTAGCATTAACTTTCTCCTGTCACATCATAGATTCCTTGGCATTGGGGAAAACACATTTGCTTACCTGGCTATTTCCAATGACTACCATAGTAGCATACATATAATGAGTGCACAATCAATTTTGAATTCAGAATTGATATGAGACCTAAGAAAATCACCAGCTTGGCAATCAACCCTTGAAACCAGAATTTAATGCTCTAAGGTAAAGTGTAGTTGGGGAAAATGACTGGCTAAGGCTCTCAAGTGCTATTAACTCACTTTATAAAAAATAACATCAGAGAATTCTTATGATTTCCAAGTTGCTATGACATGGATTAGAACTGATGTTATGTGACATAATGCTGAGTATTTTCAGGAACTTGTCATTTGAATACCACAGTTTCATTTGGCATCAGAAGGGGGTCAACTAGAATATAGGTCCTTTAAAAGAAGGTTAAGTGGGAGACTTTAACGATAACTGGGAAGAAACTGTTATGTAACAGAAAGAATGAATACTAGATTCAGTCAGAAAACAGATTTTAAGCACTGAATCCATCATTCTGATATATGATCTTAAGCAAATCTTCCCCTTAGTATTAGTTTTCCTAACTGTACAAATGGAGTAAGAATGCCTACTTTCCCTTCCTGATATGATTATGAGCATAATGAGACAAAAATTAACATAGCAGTATTCACAATTGGCTTTTATATATCCTCTTATTCTTGGCCAAATTTCTCCTTTAATTGCCCTCACCCTACTACACACACTAAAGACAAATTGCACAAGTAGAGTTCAACCTTAAAATTTGGGCAGATAAGATTAGGTATCATTTAATAGGAATTACAAAGTCATTAAATATGTTGGAAAATGGGAGGATAAAAGTGTATGGTTAACCACAGCAGGGAAACCAAAGCGAAGGAGGTCAAATGCCAAACCCCTATAGCTAACCCAGTGTGGCATCCCAGGTTAGTATGGAGCCTGAGGAAAAAGCACCTGGTAGTGTGGCAAGTGGAATAAATATTTGTTCACTGACAACATAACTATTTATAACCTTCATAATTAGTCTCTCAGCTTACTAGGTTTAACAGCCTGCTGTAACCCAACATTTGACTCACATTTGACATGCTGCTCCACAAATCATCATTCTTAGCATTTTGATAGCTGAACTTCTTTAAGTAGTGAATAATTCCTTTCCGAAATTTCTCCTCACTCAAGAAATCCTTGAGCATATTTAAAATACAAGCTCCCTAAAAAGAGAAAATAAAAGAATATATAAAGAAAAGGAGTATGCTATATTTTTTTAGTGTACCTATTTTTAAAGGAAGCTTAATTTTAATAGAACTCACATAATGTCTGAAAAATGAACAGCAAAATAAAAAGTAAAACAGGTGACAGTAACCCAGCAGCACCAGTTTAAGCTGTTAATTTTATAGGCCTCCTTATAGTTCTTCTGAAAACAGAGTTTCCGCTGCCCACAGCATTTACTACCTTGTTGTAGGAAATTGTATCAAACATTTCCTGTATTTGAGTAGGAGTTTTCGCTTGATTGGAGATAGGATGGGATGCATTTAGTGAATCTCTTTTAATTACTTCAAAACACACTTCCAAAAAATAGTCATCCTAAACAGAAGAGAACAATTTTTTTTTCAATTTCAATTAGACATTCTCAAAGCAGTAGAAAACATACTAGGTTTAGTAAGATATTCTTAGAAATAAGTATTCAATTAATATTTCTGACAATTGATTATAAGTTTCTTTCCCCTTATAAACTTCCCTTTCAGCAATTCTCTACTCATAAAGGTATGAATCCAACATCCCCTCAGATATGTCATGACTGTTTACTAGCTACCAAGCCTTTGGGTACAGAACTAAAACTAATGGTTCCCATTAGTGAACACTTGCTACATACCTGCCAGGAACTTACATCCATCATCTGCCATCCTTTCAACACCCTGCTTGGGAGAGACACTGTATGCATTTTAGAGGTGAGACTATGTGAAGCTTTGGGAGTAAAACATATATTCATCACATAGCAATAAGATACCGACTTAGAATCCATGTCTCTCTATGTCATTCTAAACCAATGCCTACTCCAAAGAGCTAATTATTAACCAGATTGATGTGGTGTTTAGAACCCCTGTGTCTATCTTTTTATAGAAAGAGAACTTTTGAAGGAATTTTTTTTTTTATTGGGTAAATTGCAGAGGTAGACAAAGTACTTCCTAGAAGAAATGGGTTTAGCAAACAGGTTCTAGAGGTCAAGGAAGGGCCCTTGGAGCTTGGGAGTGAGGAAGCTAATGGTAACAGCCTGGGGCAGGGAGGGGGAAGGGAAAGGGAAAGGCAAGGGCGTGCTCCCTGAAGGGAGAGACTGAAGAAACCTTTTTATACATTTGGGGAAGTGAATAATAGGCCCTTTGTAAACCCTAGAGGATCGTGCACCCAGTCATGCCTAATTCAGGTTACATGCCAAGAACTCTGCATGGGACCTATAGCCATGGGCATTGTCTTATCCTATATCACTGTATGTGAGCAGTGAAATGTCTTCCTCTCACTCCACATACACACATGAGTATTTGTGCTATTGGAGTTCTCTGCCCCAAAATTTTTTGGTTGGGGAATTTAGGTTTTGGGCTGAATAGTATGCCCCTCTCCAATTCCTAAGTTGAAGCCCTAGTCCCCAGCATGTGGCTATGTTTGGAAATAGGGCCTTAACAGAGAGGACAATTAAAATGAAGCTGTAGGCTGGGCCGTAATCACACCTGACTCGTGTCCTTATAAGAAGAGGAGATTTGGACACACAGAGAAACACCAGAGGAAAGACTATGTGCAGATACAGCAAAAAAGGAGGCCTCTGTAAGCCGAGGAGAGAGGTCTCAGAGAAAACCAAACCCACCAAAATACTGATCTCAAACTTCTACCCAAAACTATGAGAAAGTAAATTCCTGTTGTTTAAGCCACCAGTCTGATATTTTATCATGGCACGCCTAGCAAACTAATACAGTGTTCATTGTATATCAATCAAAACATCAAAAACACAATGCTATATTGCATTCACAAAAATGTTAACAATAAATCGACGATTGCTTAGGGCACATGGCATGACGTACAAAACTGTGAACTTACGAATTGTAGCTCTGGATATGTAGCATTAAGAGAGACAAGTTCCATGTAGTTTGCAAAGCCTTCATTGAGCCAAATGTCATTCCACCATTCCATGGTAACCAGGTTGCCAAACCACTAGGAGGTAAAAACTCCATGTTATTCAAAGTCAAAAAATACGGATAATTATTAACTCTGGCAAAAAAACATGATGTCAATTTCCTTCTTTTAGTAAATAAGGCCTTTCTTCTAGCTTTGCTACCCTTTTCTCTCTGGACAATTTCCTTCTACCTTTTGCATCTCATGGCACATATAAAATAATTAAAAGTCTGTGACACACACAAAATATATATTTTTTGCCAATCTGACAAAGAATAGGTATAATCTTGATTCATTCAGACCTGATGGCTACTGTGTTGGTTGTCATCCCTTTTTAATTTGATAATCTAACACAGAGAAGAGGTCATTGCCCTAACTAAATAGTCAAGCTTTGCATGTTTTGGAAGTTTTTGAGACTCACCAGCGTTATTCAACTGAGTTCCCTGCCTTTTTGTTTCACTACCACATTTTTGCTTGCTTCACTTTTCTTTTCTTTTGTGTTTCCCCTTGCCTCCAGCTCTCCAATTTTCATTCTATCCTTTGAACACTTCCTAGCTATTAGATTTACTATTCTGGAAGAAAAGAAAACTTTTTTTGGTTGGAGAGGAGGCGTTGTTTGTGTCTTGGACAACAACTATAATCTCAGTTTCTCTTTGATATATGGTGATGGTCTAAGGAAAAATATAAGCCAAAATATCCTTGGTGAAGTTACCCCTTTATTTAAGCAGTAGGTACTTATGAGAATTCCAAGAATTCATTTAGGACATTCAAATTGTTACTTAGTATTGCTGATGAGCATATTTGGTGTTAACCTCTGCCTTGACATTTCCAGGGATTAACTTGGCCACTAAAGTGAATAAAGGTCTAAGATTTTAACTATGTACATGAAATAAAAAGGGTGTATAAGGATAATCTACATAGAATTCTACCATTGACCTATGTTCGATCTGTAGTTTCACATATTACAATTTTTGTGTCCTTTAATATTTTATTTATTTATTTAGCCTATATACCCAACACAGTGTGTCTAGTTTATCTGTTTTAGGATTGCAGCCTCCAGGAGGATGGGAAACGAAAAGATTTTAAGATCCAGAAGAGCCTTTTTACAGTTATAGAAGAGAACAGCTACATCTGTAGCTTTTAGAAAATGTTTGAGCTCTATTCTTTTTTTTTTTAATGTATATATTTTATTGATATTTTACAGAGAGGAAGGGAGAGAGATAGAGAGTTAGAAACATCAATGAGAGAGAGTCATTGATCAGCTGCCTCTTGCACACCCCCTACTGGGGATGCGCCCACAACCAAGGTACATGCCCTTGACCGGAATCGAACCCGGGACTTTTCAGTCCTCAGGCTGACGCTCTATCCACTGAGCCAAACTGGTCCCGGCTTTTTTTTTTTTTTTTTTTTTTTTTTTTTTGATGACCCTCAGATCATTTTGCAAGTGGGGACCAATTTACCCAAGGACATTTGTGAGAAGGAACAGGAGATGTTTCCTCAGTTTTAGAAGTGATGAATATGAGAAATTCAGGGTGAGCTGATTCTGGCCACTTTTTTTTACTTTTATTTTTTAAATATATTTTATTGATTTTTCACAGAGAGGAAGAGAGAGGGATAGAGAGTTAGAAACATCGGTGAGAGAGAATCATCAATCAGCTGCCTCTTGCACACACCCCACTGGGGATGTGCCCACAACCAAGGTACATGCCCTTGCCCGGAATCGAACCTGAGACCTTTCAGTCTGCAGGCCGACACTCTATCCACTGAGCCAAACCGGTCCCGGCTGGCCACTTTTTTTAGTTGGCAAGAGTGGTTTGCTTCTTCATTCATTCAACGAGTATCTATTGAGAACCTGTGTTCCTGGTACCAAGCCATATGTTAGAAATGTGAATGCATTAAATACAGCCTCTGTCTCGGTACAAATGATAAAGGGCAACCAGCAGACAGATAATTGCAATAAAGCATTATGAGTGCCATGATCAATGTCTGTACAAGGGACCGAGGGTTTCAGCAGGAAAGAATCAGTTCTGCTTGGAGAGTTTGTAGATTAGTTTGGAAATGATTAATTTCCTTAGTCTTTCAAGTGGTTTTGGGTATGTTGGGAGTGGTGTGTGCTCTGGGCAGATCAGCAGGAACAAAATCATAGAGTAGCAACACAACCTAGCATGTTCAGGAAATGGCAATGGTCTGGGATGGCTAAAGCTTAACATGTCAGTAAGAGATGAGGCTGGAGAGGTGCAGAGGGGCTATCTTGAGGAACTTGTATGCCATTCTGGGGACCTTTGACTCACCCAGTTGGCACTGGGAGTCTTTGCCAGGGTTGAGTGACACAGTCGTGTGAAGAAATGGTCAAGCCAAAAAATTCTAGTGCAGCCTGCTCCTTTAGCCATCCATACACTCTGCATTTCTACAAAAGAGAAGCTTTTAAAGGAAAACTCAGAGTTGAGCTTGGAGCTGAAGAGCTAGAGCTCTCCAACCATTTCCCTATGAACACTGGGTAGAAGGATTAGAAATCCCTAGGCTCAGATGAGTGCTTTAGAGCTACCAGTGACTAATATCCAAAATCCCTACAATGGGCCAGTGGGGAGATCCTGAATCCGAGAAAGCTGCCCACATAGTGCAGTGCAGAGCATGGCTCTTATGTAATTTGGGTATTTAGTTTGCTGCTTAAAAAACACACACACACAAATTAAAACATGATGATGGTGGTGATAAAAGGTAAACATAAAAATTAAAAAGAAGAGAGGTTACCAGATTCTATATTGTCATGATATTTACATACATGGTGATAGAGAATTTCTAGGGCTCTAAATAATCCACTGTGCTACCGGGGATTTTCAGAAATAGAGTAGAAATGGTCTCTGATATCTATAGTATTAGTTTTTTGGCTCCATATTTTTGTGTAAGACAGTGCCAATAAGTGGGCCTTGGAAATCTTACTCTGCAAGATATGGTAGCAGTAGTAGTGGGCATTTTCATCATTAATAACTTACACTAATTGAGGGCCTACTATATGACAGGCCTAGGCATCTCTAATCCTCACAACAATTTCAAGAAGCTTGATTTTGGAATATCACAGTACTAGGGCTATAAGAAAAAAAATTAATAGAAATCTCTCTTTTTTTTTTTTGGTAGGGTTTCCAATTCTGTGTTTTATGAATTTGCATAGTTGCCACCCTTCGCTACTAAATGATATTTGAAGAGTCTACCCTGAAGGGCTTTAGAAAAATAAAGTGTTCGCTTCTCTCATGATAAAATTCCTATATGAGTCCCATAGTCTAGAGCTGTAGCCCTCTGCTACTAGACATATTGTGTCTAGTTTGGTAATCCATAAGGTCCCCTCTAGAGATAAAATAATACACTTTTATGTTGTTTTAGGAAGATTGGTGGTGTCCTGCAAATTCTCTTTTGAACTGATACTAAGAAAATGTCATGAGTACCAAGTACCTGGTGTGCTAATTCATGGGCTATGACTCTGGTGACCCACAGTTTATCAAAAGCAGAAGAGGTCTTTGGATCAAAGAGCAGTGATGTCTCTCTATATGTGATGAGGCCCCAATTTTCCATGGCTCCGGCTCCAAAGTCAGGAATAGCAATTAGATCTAAAACATAAAACTTGATCATTATGGCTTCTACCCCAGAAGTGAGATTTGCTTCTTCCTCAAATACATTATGATCCTTGCAGTATACATTGCAGACTTTCTAAAAACATCAAGAGTATCTTAACATTGGCATAATGTCTTATAGGTGCATTAAAAATAATCAGTACTCATGTCAAGTAGAATATATTCTGTCAATACAGTTTTAGTTGCAGTTGAAGTACCCTATTGACATTTAGCCATTGTTTTTGTTTTTTTTTTTTTCAAAAAGTTCTGGACTCTGAAAATACCACTACTGAAAATACTACTGCTAAGAAAGATAATTTATAGACACTCATGCTGTAGTTTGTGTTAGTATACTGAAAACTTAAAAAATTAAAGGTGTTTGCTTGGCTGGTATAGCTCACTGGTTGAGGAGGTCATGGTTCAATTCCTGGTCAGGACACATGCCTGGTTTGCAGGCTCAATCCCCAGTAGGAGGAGTGTAAGAGGCAGCCAATCAGTTTTTCTCTCTCATCGTTGATGTTTCTATTTGTCTCTCTCCCTTTCTCTCTGAAATAAATAAAAGCATATTTAAACCTAAAACCTATATGATTATGTCAACCAATGTCACCCCAATACATTTAATTACAAAAATAAAAATTAAAAATAAACTAACAAAAAATAAATAAAAGGTGTAAAATAATTTTTAACATATTTGATATTCATCAAAACATATAATGAACTCATTTCTATAAAAATAGAAAGCTATAAAAATTTAACTTTAGAAAGTACCTTTTAGGAGTAAAATCTGTAGTCAATATTGCAATTAATATTTCAAGAATATATGGCCTCTTTTATAAGCAAATGTTCTTTAAGGCAGTAGAGGGGAAAGGCGGTAAGCATCAATTATTTTTACCTCAATTTCCTCTCAACATTGATATTTTCTCTACTTCTTAACTAAGTCATGGGTGGGGTAGGACGTGTGTGTGTGTGTGTGTGTGTGTGTGTGTGTGTGTGTGTATCCTTTGCCAGTGACTTCATGTAGGTTAGAAATTTAAAATTTATGACTAATATTTAATCTTTATTTTTATTTTTATTTTGCCATGATATTTTGGAAAAAGTACTGTACAGCTAAAAAGAAAGATACTTTTTTTTTAAGTTTGCAATGAACCACATCATTGGTTTAAATTACATTGTCTGGAATTAGTAATAGTTAATTCCAGTGTATAAAAACAAATACTTATAACAAAATAAGAAACTAAATTGGCACTAATAAAGATCAGTATTCATTAGCACTTCATATGTAGGAATGAGTCCTTTTCTAAATTGTACTGTTGATTTTCTATTAGTTGGATTATTTCTCAAAGCCATTAGAGACATTTAAATTGGCTCTATTTTATTTAAGTCACATGCTTCTTTTTAGTTAGTTTTAAAATACATTTCATATACTCTTCAAGGTAGCATTTTTAAAGAACAACATCAGATTGTTGATTGCTGTTATTTAATCTTTCCTTGACTTTTGACATAGAGGAGAGTAGTGGATTATGGATAACTAAATTTAGTATATCTATACTAAGGGGTATATAGAATCCACACTCTAATAATACAGTGAGATTCAGCAACTATAGAAATAGGCTCCTGATGTCTTTTCATGTCCCCTTTTACGTTCTCTAAAAAAGAAAAAATAATTGAGTGGAGGTTGTGGGGAAAGGAGAAAAAGGATATGATAAGGAGAAATATTTCTTAACATCCCAAAGAAAATAAATGTTTGACACTGTCAGAAACTCTTAAAAACATAGTCTATATAAGCTATAAAATTAAATTATAGTTTTTACATGTTCTACAATATTATGAAAATCACAACTTTAAATTTTCAAGATAGAAAATTAAAAGGAAGACAAACTGTGTTTTCTTACATGCAAATTATCTATCTGCTCCAAATCTTTTTAAAAATCTGTACCACAGTCTTCCTTATTTTCTAACCTCAATTAAACTACAGATAACAGATGAAGGGACAACTTTTAGCTGTTTACATATATCTTTAGCAACTTTTATGAAACACTATTGGTCTTATACAAATATGGTATAGAAAAAAATGTGCTCCAGAAAATTCACCAAATTAAACCTAATATGAAATGCAGCTATTTTAATTTTAAACCCGATTAAATAATAGAAAAATTATCCACACTACTTAGGCTTCTCATAAGTACTTTTCTACACTCAAGGACCCTCTCTGAGATACAAATTATTGCTTCCTGTGCTAAGTGAATTTCCGGAGTCCTCATTTCAACTACATCTAAAGGGGGAGGGAATCAAAGCAAATTCTATAAGCATAAATAAAGACACCTACCCAGTTTGGGGAGTGGATAGTTGATATCAAAGTAACTTTCATAAAAATCAAGTAGCTTCAATGATGCCTCCAAAGCATAATGAGTTTGATTCCATTTGTCTGGGGATGCATAAATGGACACCTGCAAAATGTTGGTCAGAAAGAATGGTCTTTGAATGACAGATCCTTGGCATGATACCATTCCTAAGACCCTTATCCAAAGGCAAACTACATGTCTCAAGAAATTACTGAAATACCATTAAAGCATGTTGTCAACAGGGGATACGATGTTCTGCAAAGTATTAAAGCAAAAGCCACTCGTGAAAATTATAAACAATCCTGCATCTTCATTATAATTCATTCCCTAGGTGCTAATTGTACTTTGCAAGCTCTGTTAACCTATTATGTCATGAGAGTCCACTTGAACTCATCAGTATCATGTACACTTAAAACTAGCCTTCAAAAAAACAACAACAAAAAAAACAACTAGCCTTCCAAAGTTATGATTAGCACAATTCAAATAAAACACAGTTTTAAGAGGTGGGAAAGCCTTTAAGAACATATTGGATCCAGTTTCCACCATCCCCTTCCTAGTCCAGTTTACTTTAAACTAAAAAATGCCAAATGTGTTCATTGACTCCCCTCAAAGCAAATAGCCATTAAGTAGAAAAAATAAAGTTAGTTTCTGATTTTCTTGGGTTTCAAGCATAGTGCTACTTTCATTTCATTATCTGCTTTCATTCTCTGAACTGAAGTTCCTGAGAACTTTTTAGGAAGGATATGTTCATGGCTGCCATGTTTTGTTGGATTACCGGGCACTGTGTTAAAAGTGTACATGTAAATATAAATTAATTCTCAAAAACATTACAAAGTAGCTGCTAACATCTTCCTGGAAATTAATAACTTGCTCCAAGTCACCCACGTAGAATCTATAGACCTGGGATATGAGTCCAAGGAGGTTGACAGCAACTTGTCCTCTGCAGTAAAGCATCATCTGACCCCTCACAGGTCTATAGCTATGCACATGCAGACCTATGTGCAGAGATGCCATGATGTGTGTGCAGATACATGGTTCATAATTTTTCTACATAGGTATCATATGAATATAAATTATAATAGCCATTTTATGGCCAGTTTATGGCTATTTTTCATAAGCATTATTTTATAGTTCTCTGAATATGTTTTTATGTCAATCTTTGGTTCCTCAGGGTAAGGAGTTTTTGTTTATTTTAATGTGTCTATTGATGTTTGCCAAACTTATGTATAAATAAATATTGGGTATTGTAAATTTTTTCAAACAATGAAGACTCTAAGAATTATGAAGAGTTTCTTTTATTGAGAAAACAATTGGAAACAATGTGAATGTCCTGAAATAAGGTGCTGATTTAAAAATTTTATGAGGTAGAGTACTACAGAAAAATATTTAATGGCATTCAATTTTTATTGCATATTATGGTAAGATTGAGTTAAAATAGCCACATTATTTTATACAAAGTATATACACAGTATATACTGTATACACACACACACACACACACACACATATCCTATCTAATGAAAGAATAATATGCAAATTGACCATCACTCCAATGCACAAGATGGCTGCCCCCATGTGGTCAAAGATGGCTGCCTCATGTGGACACAAGATGGCCAGCACAAGATGGCCAACAGGGGAGGACAGTTGGGAGGGACCAGGCCTGCAAGGGAGGGCAGTTGTGGGTGACCAGGTCAGCAGAGGAGGGATGTTGGGGGCAACAGGGCCTACAGGGAAGGGCAGTTGGGGGGAACCAGGCTTGCAGGGAAGGGCAGTTAGGTGTGACCAGGCCTGCTTAGGGGTGACCAGGCCTGCAGGGGAGGGCACTTAAGGGCAATCAGGCTGGCAGGGGAGCAGTTAGGCATCAATCAGGCTGGCAGGGGAGTGGTTAGGGGTGATCAAGCTGGCAAGCAGAAGTGATTAGGGGCAATCAGGAAGGCAGGCAGGCGAGCACTTGGGAGCCAGCAGTCCTGAATTGTGAGAGGGGTTTCCGACCGCCCATTTAACATATTTTCTGGCATATAAAATGACCCCTAATTTTACAGTTAAAACATAGGTTTAGGCCTATATTTGCTGTATAAGACTACCCCCCACTTCAAAGAAAAGACTTACTTTGCCGTCAAGATCTGCAGGTAATTTTTGTGTAATTTTGGTCTTTTGCCCCCGATTTTCTGTTTCACTGATTGACTTTTTTTTGTTTCAAAAGTCATTTTATACGCCGGAAAATACGGTAGGCCTAATCCCAGTAGGGGTCCCAGATTGGAGAGGATGCAGGCTGGGCTGAGGGGCACACCCCCTATGCATGAATTTTGTGCACTGGGCCTCTAATATATATATTATTCTGTCATATACTGACATATATATAGAAAGTAGTTGGAAACTATACATTAACATCATCAGTTATTATATCCTAGTAATGAAATTATGGGTAATTTATTTTATTTTGTTTTTACCTATTTCTTGTTTGTAAGATAAACATGATACTTTGATAATAAGGAACAAAGCTTAACAAACTAAAGAAAAGTTCATTGAGCTCAGCACACTATTCTGTGCTGTGTATGAATTTAGATCTCAATCTTACCTTGACCCCTGAGGAGGAGGTTCCACTCACAGACTTGAAATCACAAACTATGTAGGCTACAAGGTATGTACTCATTTTTACAGTAGTTTCAAAATGATCTTCCAAGAGGCCTCCTTCAAGTTCAATTGTCTTAACCTACAGGAAGGAAAAGAATCAGTATTTGAAAATGGGAGTATTTTACACCAATGCCTATTACGTAAGCCAGAGGAGAGCCTGACACTCTGAAGGACCTGATGCCCTTCTAAGAGGGCATAGCGTTCTGTGGTCTCCCTTTATTTTTCTTACCCCTGGACTTTCCTGAAGACACACTCCACTAATTTTGAGACCCCCAAATGTATGCCAATCTTATTTGCTTGAAAATTTATTTGCTTAATTGCTTGAAAGCATAATAGCAGCCTAGATGCTTCTACTTATGTGAAATGCAATAACCTCCAAATTGCCCTAAATTCAAGTTCTGCACTTCGAAGGAAAAATACCCAGAGAATGGCCCCCCTTTTCCCTTGTTATATAATAAGTAAATCTTTGTTTCAGAAGGAAATGGGAAGCAAAACTGTGCTAAATGATTTACATTATCTTTTATCCTGTGTGTGTGTGTGAGGTAGGTGTTATTTCACAAGTGAGTCTCAAAAAATATGAACTCAATTGCCTAAGATCACAAGGCAAGTTCCACAGCAAGTCCAAGATGTGGATGTGACCGTATGACTCCAAAGTCATTTCTCATTCTTTCACCTCGCTGGGTGGCAGCTTTAGTCACAGTCTTATTTTTATCTTTGCTTCATTGATTTCACAATGAAAGCAGCCAGGCCAAGGAGGTCATTAGTAATTTAAGCTCCTGCCTATGAACTGAGGAAGCAAAAGTTTTAAGCCTACAGACTCGTCAGCTGCATCTCTCAAGTTCACTGAATAATTACTGAGTGCTATCTTTATTTGCACCGAAGAGCTAGTCCCAGAGATGATCTCTGATATGGTACAATACCCCTAAATACTGAATGGGTTCGATTCAGTAATCTGAAAATACCACCTTCTCCAAATTGGTAGCTACTCTTGAGCTAGCTTGTTCCCCTCCTCACACCTTCCACCCCACTCTGTAAGGTGTCAGGCTTGGGGCAGTGCTAACTAGGCCTTCTTGAGCATGGTTTATGTGTTTGGTTAAGATTATAGTCTGCTTTGGCAAGAGACAATAGCTTTAAATATTACCATGAACTGCCTAGCCGACTTCAATGACAAATGTTCGTGCTATTGAATTCTACATAATTTAACTCTACAGATTTCTATCAAAGCATTCAGTTCCTAAGTTCCTGTAAAGCAGAAGACACTGACCACATACTCTAAGAAAGTTAGCAGTATATTCTGGGCTGTAATTCTTTCAGCAAATTCATTTAGTTCAATAATTATCTCTTTATGAGTCTGACGCAAACAGAGTTCTATGGATACATACTCCTAGCAAAAAAAAAAAAAAAAAAAAAAAAAAAAAAAGGGTTATAGAAGAGGGAACCAGGGAGAAGGCATTGACTGGAGTCTTCTGACCAAACTTGGCAGCAAAACCATTTAGTCACGTGTGTGTAGAGGGGTGAGGGGGAGAGGAGGCAGGGCTGTGGTCCTATGGGGAAATGAGCATCTGTGCCTTCAGACAGCTGGTAGCAATGATGTGTAGGAGACAGATGGGCATTCCTCCTGATTTTCCCCCCAGATAAAGATGTACCCCATGGAGACTGAGTTTTGTTCAGGAACTTGGAGTGACTCATAGGTTAACATTGCCTTAAGGGGAAGTGTATGGGTGTTAGTATAAGTTCATCCAGGATAGGGATGTACATTCCAAGCATAAAACACTTGTTGCTAGATGAGGAGTTCGCTGTTTTCTCAATGCTGCCAGGTCTGAACTTGCACAGCAGGTGTCACCAGCAGGTGAGTGCTCCTTTAAGAAATAAAGGGGACAAAGAAATGCCCCAAAGATATGCTGCCTCTACCAGTGCTTGGCTGGCCTCCTCACTTCCGTTAAATCTTAACTAAACAAATTGTGAACTTTGTATTTGTTGCTTCTTCTCACCAGACCATAACCCATATTAAGTGCTGTCACTGTTATTATCCAGAGAGTATGAATGCAGCATTCCTTTAGGTCTCCTTTTTTTCTTGGCTGAACATGAAAGTCTGGATTGGTTGGGCATGTCAGCGAGGAGCAGGATGTTAAGCCAATATTGCTGAAAGCGGCACGACCCAGAGAACTGGTCTAGTCAACGGAGGCAGTGCAAAGATTCACGGGTTGCAGAAAACATTTTCAACGTGTTCACTTATTTTTCTTAAATATGAGAAGTTACTGAGGGGTTCTAATAATAGAAAACTTAAACTGTAATATAACAAAATGACCATTTATGTTGGTGTCACACTTTAATTAAAAGGCTTTATGAACTCTGTTTTTACTTCAGCCTCCATGGTCATTCAGATAAAAATATATTAATAAAAAGCTGCCAGACGGCCAGGCCCGGGGGAGCAGGCGGGTCGGGTGCGGCCAGGCCCGGAGCAGCGGCTGCCAGGCTGGGAGCGGCCAGGCCCGGGGGAGCAGGCGGGTCGGGTGTGGCCAGGCCCGGAGCAGCGGCTGCCAGGCTGGGAGCGGCCAGGCCCGGGGGAGCAGGCGGGGCTGGTGCGGCCAGGCCCGGAGCAGCGGCTGCCAGGCTGGGAGCGGCCAGGCCCGGGGGAGAGGCAGGTCGGGTGCGGCCAGGCCCGGAGCAGCGGCTGCCAGGCTGGGAGCGGCCAGGCCCGGGGGAGCAGGCGGGTCGGGTGCGGCCAGGCCCGGAGCAGCGGCTGCCAGGCTGGGAGCGGCCAGGCCTGGAGCAGCAGCAGCCAAGTCCAGAGCAACTAGGTCGGGAGCGGCAGTGACCAGACCCGGAGCAGCTGGTTGTGGAATGAACCAAAGCAACAGAGGCCAGGCCCTGAGCAGCCAGGCCCAGAACAGCTCGCTCCTTGCCTGCCCCTGCCCCACGGCTGCTTCTCAGACATGGCTGGAAACTTTCGTGGGAACTTGAGGGTCTGCTGAATCAAGTGATGAAGGCTTAGATCTGGATGTGTTGAGTTAGTTTAGGACTGGGGTGTTGATCTGTGAGTGCCTTGGGTGGGGCCTGGATGAGGCTGGTTGACCTAGTGGGAAATGTCTTTTGTGTGAAGTGTATCATTGGGCATGTGGAGGTATTATTGATATGAGAAAATGCTAAGTAACTGATTTACTATCTGAAAAGGGATTTACTATTGGGGAAATTGAGGGAAGAAGAGACTGAACATAAACTGCACCTATGGATGAGGACAATGGGGGGTGGGGGGGGACGGAGGGTGGGGTGGGAACCTGGTGGAGGGGGGAAGAAATGAGGAACCTTTGTAATAATATGAACAATAAAGACTGATAAAAAAAAAAAAATTTAAAAAAAATAAAATAAAAAAAAAAGCTGCCAGAAAGAGGCTGAGCTGTGCTTTGCAAGCATTTCTACCTGAAAATGAGAGGGCTAATTAAATTGCTGTCTTCACAGTCGTGGAAAAGCTACAGGATGTGTGTTAAGTGCAATGTTCCTCTTGATCTTCTCTGCCAGTATTTCAGAGCAAATATCTTTTTATTTTATTTTATTTAAATAGGAATCTGGGAAGTTGAGTGTCTAGCTGATGAACTCATTCCTCCCCGTCACCATGAATCCACCCACTGTTCAGAGCGAAGAGGGCAGCGGGGAGGGCCCTGAACCAGCTGCTTTCTGTGCTGCCCCTTCCGCTGAAGCACCGTACCTTTGTCCTACATTACAAGTTGGGGTGGGGAAGCACTTTACATTTTGTTCAACAGAAATGGCAAGCGCGGCATTGGTGAGGAAATACCACATTAACTCAGGCCCACTGTGTCTTTCAGAGTCTCTGCATTCTGAATACAAATACAAGCCAAATAAAAGGTCTCTTTCAATTTAAAAAAGTGTATAACCACAATAAATAACTTTAAGAATGACCACTGCAACTTACAAAAAAATGAAAACCGATTTGTAAGTTCCAGCACAGAAGTCCAGGTCAGAATATCTGAGGGAGGGCCCAGACAGGGGTCTCTCCATCCTGGCCATTCAAATGCGGTCCCTGGCCCAGCAGCAATGGCATCCGTCACCTGGGAGCTTGTTAACAAGACAGAATCTGGGCCTCCCTCACCACAAGACTGACTGAATCCGAATCTGAATTTTAACAAGGTCCTCGGATGATTCATGTGAACATTAAAGTTTGAGAAGTACAGTTCTACTTGATTCTGAATTTTGTCTCTGGCCAAGTAACACTGATTTAAAAGAACAATGTTTCCATATGAACATAAGGGAGCTGTAAATCACTTGTTTTGTTTTGTTTTGTTAAAAAGCTTCTGGTGTAACAACGTCCCAAACAAAATGATGTTAAAATCTAGAATGATTGGGGTTATTAATAATATGTTTGATAGAACAAATTAATACTTTAAGTCTTGAAAAAAAGAGAAAATATTTTTTAAAAAGCAACACAGCAAAGACAAAGGCTCGACTTGAAAATAATTCCCCAATGTTTCTGAAAGCGGCAATACCTTTGGCATGTTGGATAGTGCGATGTGTCTGCTCTCTCTTCTTATCTTGATTGAAAAGTTGGCTTTGAACAGTGGTTCATCAAAGCAAGGGAAAGCCACGCGTGCCTCAGTTGGCTCAAAATCTGTTACTGCGATAGTTCTGTGAAAAGAACCACCCCCAGCCAGAATACATAAGTGAAACCAAGACAGGAATGAATTTGTGCCTCCAGAACAATCCTGGAAGTGACATATTTGATTTCTCAAACTATAATTTTTGAGAATCCAGGCTTTATTCCCCTCTCCCCCCAAAATACACAAGGGTGACATTTAGTTTAGTGGCTGCCAGTTGTGACTAACGCTTGGTGCTGGGCACTCTGTTTACAGGATTGCCTCCATTCTCCTAGCAGACGAGGACATAAGGCTCAGAGAATTGGCCTGAGCTTACCTGGATCCTTAGCTAGTAAGTGGCTGAGAGAAGCATGCATGTCTAGACAAGTTGAGGTAAAAATGGACTAGGAAATTTGTAGGTCAGTACCATCTCTAAACCTGTGGGAATCTCAACCAGACGTATGACTAATTGTGGGTCATGACTGAGGATGTGTTCCCAGGAAGCAGACCCTGATTTATTAAGAAAGTTCTGCCGGAAGAAAAGGGAGTGAGAAAACCAGGCCAGGGAAGAGGAAGAAGCCAGGCCAGGTCTCAGCTTCAGCCTGATCCCCAGGAGCTCTGGAAAGAAAACTCCACCTTCAAGTCTCCCCCCTCCCACCGCCACCACCACCTCCCAACTGGAGGCAAGGAGCTATAGCATAGACAACCCTCTCTATCCCGTCACCTGGATAATGCCAGAAATTGTATAATTCAGACTGTAAAGGAGAAGCTGTCAGGATAATCATAGTAAGAGTCAGAAATAGCCTACAGCTAATTATGGGAGGCATTCTGGAAGTCCTCCTGTTCTTACTCCAAAAAATGCCCCCCTCTAGTCTCCCAGGTCTCCCAAAATGATATCCTTAAAATGTATTTTATTTGGGCAGGGCCACTGTCACTTGAACACATTTAAGAAAAGACATCATTGCCGAAACCGGTTTGGCTCAGTGGATAGAACGTCAGCCTGCGGACTGAAAGATCCGGGTTCGATTCCGGTCAAGGGCATATACTTTGGCTGCGGGCATTTCCTCAGTAGGGGGTGTGCAAGAGGCAGCTGATTGATGATTCTCTCTCATCGATGTTTCTAACTCTCTATCCCTCTCTCTTCCTCTCTGTAAAAAATCAATAAAATATATATATATATTTTAAAAAGAATAAAAAGAAAGAAAGAAAAGAAAAGGCATTGCGTGGTGCCCTAGTGGAAAGAAGTTGCTGAGTTTTCTATCCAGCCACACCCTGGACCTGAGAACAGGCCCCCCAGAACTGAGGCAGCAGTGAGGGGAAGCATCCCCAGGGGAGCAGGGGGAAAGAGATGGGCCTGGGGAAGGTGTTCTAAGTGGACTGCTAAGGCTCTGGGGTGGGTGCATGAGCCCTCAGAGGGCAAAAAGTACCTAAGGTTGGGGAGGGAAAAGCAAGTATGTAGCAGATGCTGCTCAAGTTGCCTACTAGCATATTCCCTTTCTGCAGTGCCATCAGAATCCTGATTTTGTTTTGGAAGGCAATGTATCTTTATTTTATTTTATTATTTAATTAATTAATTAATTAATTAATTAATTAATATTTTGGTGCCAGGAGTGGGATGCAATGTATCTTTAGACTCCCTTGCAATTTGGTAGGCATATGACTCGTGGCCTAGTTGAAGTCACTGGGTGGGAAAGACTCAGCTGGAATGCTTCTTTCTGCTTTTTTGCCTCCTTCATTTCCCTGTTTTTCCTGCCTGGAATGCGGACTTGAAGGCCAGAGGTGCACAACTCATCTTGTATTAGGAAGGGAGCCATATGCCAAGGAGGCTGAGCAGAAGGATGGGAGGAGTGTGGGTCCTGGATAACACGGAGAAGCACTGTAGCCAACCTGAGCTGCCCTACTTCTGGATTTCCTTTTTTCCCCCCCGAAAGAACCCCTATGTGTTGAGCTACTGTATTTGCGTTCCTCTAACTGGCACTGAACACAACTGATAAAGGGTGGGAGAGCCAGGCTCTTCTTCCCTCCCCGGTGACCCAGCTCCAGTCAGACAAATTATCCTCTCTTTTACCTCATTGGCTCACCTCTAGCAAATTCTGTCTGTTTTATCCTCCAAAAGAAATGCCAAGTTCAATCACTTACTGCATAAGGCACCACCTCTAGCCTGGCCCAAACCACCACTTCTTGCCTGAACTACTGCAATGTCCTCCTAAATGATTGCTCTTCTATTTTTTTCCTCTCTATAATGGGTCCTCCACGTACACTTGAACTTTATAAGCATAGATCAGGTCAGAACCTTCCAATGAGTTCCACTGCACTAGAGTAAAAGCCTAAACTCCTCACAAGAGGCACTAAGTGATATCATCTCCTTTCAACTCTACTTCTCTCTCTGGCCCATGCTCCTCAAGCCACACTGGCCTTCTTTTCTCAATCTGTCCCACTTTGCACTTGCTGTTCCCTTTTCTGGGGACACTTTGCTCTTTTACATCCTCATGATTGTGTCCTTTAAAAAGATATATATATATATATATATATATATATATATATATATATATATATATATATTTAGATCTTAGTTTAAATGCAACTCGTTGACAAGGCCTTCCCTGACCACTAGGCTAAATTAGTCCCAACCCCAAGCTACACTTACTCTCTATTATGGCACCTTGTTTTATTGCCTTCATAAAGTCTATCACCTCATTCATATTTCACCACTAGAGATTCGGTGTCAAGAACAGTGCCAGGCATAAAGCATGTGGCCAATAAACATGAGGTGATCAAATAAACAGTATTTCTCAGTTCTCCAAACATATTTGCTCCTGCCTCCTGCATTTGAGTCGTGCTGGTTCCTGAGTAAACGGCATATTTTCATTTCCTCTCTCTCTAGCCACATCTCACATTCCCTTCTGGTCCCAGATGAAGGCTTGCCTCCTTTGAGAATCCTCCCCTATTTCAGCTCTCTCTGCACTGAGCATCCTTTTCTGCAGAAAATAAACATGTCTGTCTTATCGCAAACACACTGGCCTCTCCTCTCAGCTACTCCCCCTCCAGCAGTTTATGCCTCTGCATTCTTTCTTCCCAGCTTTCCTGCAATTTCCTTAAGGAACGGCAGAGCTGCTTCTTCTGCCTCCTTTCCCACAGTTTATTGGGCTTTTCATAAATGATTGCTGAAACGTGCTCTTGGCAAAGAGATCTAACACATAAGGAACGTATCATGAGAGACTGCAAACAGCTGGGGTGACATCTTACCTTGTTTCACCACCAAGAGTTCTGTACGTGCTTTTATAAAACCCTTCAAAGCCATCAGCTAACTTGCCCTGGAAGTCAATGGCCACATAGTATTTCAGGTCAGCCGTGAGTTTCTCTGGAACCAGCAGAGCAATTTGCTCATGAGCAGGATAACTCAGAACATCCAGCTTTCTCCCTGGTTTCCTGTATCTCAAATCTTCTTCTGAATGAAGGGTGACATTCATGATTTCAAGATCTTTGCTGTGTAAGATGATAAATTGGGTGGCAACTCTGGCTAAGACTTCAATCTTCTCAGATGCAACGAAGTCCAGGGAGGTGAGATTTGGATGAACTAAAAGGTCATAGTGGAGGGGAATGGCCATGTTGGGGAGCCTTAGCTCATGCCAAGGAAATGGTTCCCCATTGGTGGCCGCCGGGAAAGCCCCAAGGTCATGATTGAACTGATCACTAGATGGCATTGAGAACCGAGAACAAATGCATATTTTAGGTAAGATGATTGCTGTACAGTAAAATCCTAGGTAAACATTAAATATTCGCTTTCTGTGTGAATTAACCATTGCAGAAGAATGGAATATCAAATCTATTCCCTAGAAGAGAGGTTACTCTCCAGACTAACTCTCATAGTCTTCATAGCATTCTATAGGCTCCAGTTGTGTCACATAGGATTTGAACAACGTTTAAATACATTGATTTAATCTAGAAGAAAAGAAAACATTATTAGCATGAAAAAAATATTTCAACTCATAAATAAAACCTTACAAAAATAAAAGGATATATGGGAATAGGGAAAACCTGTTCGCTGTCAGAATAAGGCCAAATATCCACAAAATAAAATAGAAATTGAGCTATTATCTGGTTATTATAAATACAATTTTTTAGAGCTCTAGTGAAAGGATTCTGCTTTAAAATTGTATGGAACAAATGCCCTCCGCATTTCTGTACAATGAGCAGAAGGAAGGTGCCTGGTGAATGCTTCTAACATTTTGCTACATCATTCTAAGAGTATCTGGGACATCTGAAAGTGAACTACACAGGTTTTTCTATTTTCTTTTTCTACGTCACAAATAATATATTCTTTGGATACCACATATTACTTTTTCATATATGTATATATTTTTTATTTGTTTCAGAGAAAAGGGAGAAGGAGATAGAAACATCAATGATAAGATAAATATTAATCAGCTGCCTCTTGCACGGCCCCATTGGGGATTGCGTTGGCAACCCAGGCATGTGCCCTTGACCGGAATCAAAACTGGGACCCTTCAGTCGCAGGCTGACACTCTATCCACTGAGTCAAACCAGCTAGGGCCAGATATTACTATTAATGGCATTGAACTTTGCCTTTTTCATACACAACTGAATGGCCTTATTCTATGGCTATTGATATAAAAGTTACTGGTCAAGCTAGATGTTTACCCTTGGATTATTTCCAACATATAAGCTATATAAATAAAATTTGAGTTTATAATATTCTGACATTATTAAAAAATTGCTTTTGTCCTCTGCATTTTAGGCTACCTCTAAAAACACAAATTAAACTGAATTCACTACCTCTGTAAACAGAATTAAGATGTTTTCCTCTTATTAGAAGGGTTTAGCTACCGAACATATAAAATTAGGACAATATAGTTAATATACCAACTCCCACCCTGCCACCTGCTTCTACCTGCTTCCTCCCTGCTTCAACCTAAACCCTTGAGTGGCTTATTCCCTTTTCCATTATTAACAAGTTCTTTAGAATTACTTATCTGATCAATTACTTCATTTTTCCAATTTGCAATATTAATGCAGATCAACAGGTATTGTTAAACAAAGACAAAGAAGAATAAAATAATGGTTAAATTATTTTTGACAAGTATTAAATTACTAGAGGCCCAACGCATGAAGATTCGTGCAAGAATAGGCCTTCCTTCTCCTGGCTGCCGGCACTGACTTCCCTCCGGCACCGGCTTTCCTCTTGCACCCAGGACCCAGACTGCTTTGCTCCAGCAGCTGCTGCCACCCACTGAGGATGTGCTCCAAGCCATGCTGCTGCTGCTGCTCAGAGCCCACCCCTACCCCTGGTGTGTGTCCGCTGGGGCTGGGGGCGCACGCAGTCCCCTCCTGCCCAACTGCGTGTGCAACTCCTCCTGAGCCAGTCCTGATGCAGCCTCCTCCTGAGCTGGTTGTGATGCCTTAAGGCGTCCCAGCTAATTTACATATTACCTCTTTATATTTAGAGATAGCTACCAAATCTCAATGTTCTAGAAACCTTTGATACATAAAATCAAAACTGGTCTATTAGCTTGAATTTCTGATATTTTGAAAAATGAAATTACTTATTTGTTAGGTTCTAGGTTTGGCAATCAGGATGCCTGGATTCTAATACTAGCTCTGCCACATTTACCTTTGTGAGCTGGGACAAATTTCTGATTTTTTAAGCCTTAGTTTCCTCACCTATAAAACAACATCATAATTACACCATCCTCACGATGTGAGGATTAATTGAAGAATTCAGCACAGCACAGCAACTAGCATATAGGAAGCACGTAATGCATGTTAAATATTAAATTATTATTTTGGATATTATAACTTGTACTCTCTGGCCTAAATTTAAAAGCAGTGCTGCCCCACTTGTAGCAAACACACTCCAAGAAAGGTGCTTTCTTTTTCTGTAAGAGGCCTTAGTATTTACTCAGATAGTCTTTAACTTTAGAACTGGCAAGGACTCTAAATGCCAATTAACACAAGTCCTTAGTGTCCAGTTAAGAAAACTGAGGGGGAAGAGGGGACTTTCCTAAAACCACATAGGAAATTTGAAGCAAAATCAAGACCAAAATAGAGCTCTTGATCCTTGCTCTCACAGACTTTTCCATTATATTGCACTGTGGCTTCAATAGCATTGCAATGAACAAAACATCCTGGGACTGGAGACACAGGTATTACAACATCTGGGAAAGGCTAAACAATCTCTAAAAGAGAGTGAGTGAGGTAAGCAGGAGATTCTTAAACCGAGGCCCATGTTTAAGCACACACTTTCCAACACAGCAGTGCCAGATTCACCCCCTTTCACCAGATCCTCACCTTCAGTGGCAGGACCTCCTCAGTACAGCAGTTTTATGCCTTCAGTTCTGGCCACGAGCCTCACTGAAACATTCTGATTTAAAGTCAAATTCAAGAGAAATGCTGAAGCGTTACCTTAATCCACGTTGTTGCAGATTTGAATGGGAGGAAGTTTATTTTTGCTTTCACTTTCTATTTGGTAAGACTCAGAACTTTGCTACTTCCTGATCATAGGACTAGCACTTCCTGATCATTTAGGTTCATCATCATGTAGATACAACCGGCTTAACACAAAAGCTTTTGTTCGGAAAGCAGGAGAGACTGGCAGGTGGCTTCAGAGCAAGAGCCACACACCATAGCAAGTCAGGGTGGGCACCCAGCTTTTTGGCTGCTGCTTTTTCTTTCCCATTTCTTACCCCCACGTGCACACATTCAGAACCTAGCTTGAGTGTGTGTGTGTGTGTGTGTGTGTGTGTGTGTGTGTGTGTGTGTGTGTTTTAAAGATACGCTTTTATAGAGAGAGGAAGGGAGAGGGAGAGAGAGATAGTGGTGGTAGCTCTGCAGCATTCTTTTTCACCAGACCCAGCCTCGCTGTGTATATCTGTTTGTGTGTCTGTGAGTTCTCAGGATTCTCCCCTGCCCCTGAGGACAGAAGTGATGACAGAGAGCGAGGAATCCTACAAGAAAAAGTTGAGAAGGCCCCAGGTGACTTCATAGCTTATTATTTAAAACTACTTCTCAGCAGAGGGGTTTCTAACTCTTCTCTCCCCTCCCCCCCTACTGTGAATAGAATAAGCTTTGGGATGTGTGTTACTTAGGGAATTCACATATCTCACTCTCTCCTATCATCCTGGTCTTCCCCAACCATCTCTTGCTCAGAGAAGCTGTCCTTGTTGGCTCAGTCTAAAACAGCGGCACTCCTCCCTAAGTCCACCCCAGCCACCACCCAGGGTCTGCCTCCTTGGCCTGCTTTATTTTTCATCTTCACATTTATCAATTCCTGACACTTCCCTATGTATGTCTTTATTTGTTCTATCTATCTCCCCAATCGAACATAAGCTCCTTGCTGGCAGGGGATTTGTCTGCTTTGCTCACCACTCAGTGCCCAGAGCCTTGGGAAGAGTCAGGCATGTAGGAGACCCTTGATAAATATCTGCTGAATGGGGGAAGGCATTTTTAATATTTTTAGGTTTTTCTTTTCAGGCTGCCCTACACTTGCTCCATGCTTCAGGCTAATTAGGGAAACTTCCATTTCTAGGTGAGCCAGCATTTCCTCATCTTTACTGAGGCTGCCACTCCATGTGCAGTACATCTCTCTCAATGTGTCGTGTGTAAACCTATCACAAGGCGAATGTCACCTCCAGAAAGCCACCTGGGAAGTGACACAGGCTTACCTTACGCTGCCATATTTGTTCTTCATATTCTTCCTTAAATTATCAATTCCTGAAAGGCCGGGGCCACACACCCTGCCCCCACCTCTCTCCAGTCCTGCTCAGAGTTGTGTACCTTGTAGGTCCTTGTAAGAAATTTATTTCTTAATGCTGCCTGTGCTTTAGTGTTGTGGGTGGTGAGGTTTCAGTATAAAAAAAAAAAAAAAAAAAAAAAAAAGATTTATAGCCTCCTGACAAACGAAAGGACACTGAATCTCCTTTTAGCTTTTTGCTGTTGATTTTTTCCTCTTAACATAGACACAGGTTGGCCTTTGTTCCTGCTAGATGCTATCACTTTGAATGCCAGCTAGTTTACAGTTTAAATATATTTTTTAATTGACTTTCTACAAAGAGGAAAGGAGAGAGATAGAGGGTCAGAAACATCGATGAGAGAGAGTCATCGATCAGCTGCCTCTTATACACCCCCACTGGGGATGTGCCCACAACCAAGGTACATGCCCTTGACCAGAATTGAACCTGGGACCCTAGAGTCCGCAGGCCTCTATCCACTGAGCCAAACCGGTTTCGGCTCACAGTTTAAAAAACTACTTCTTCTCTGCCTTCCATTTCTTTCTGAAAGGATCTCTAAAAACCTATAGAAAGTACTTCACGAAATTATTGCTATGCCTCTGCACATTTTCAAATAAAATAAAGGCAGAGTCTATAATATGGTTTTAAAAGTTTTAATTTAAAAAAATAAAGTTTATGATAGTACAAAAACTCAGGTCCACGTGGAGGGCAGGGAATTTACCTAGAAAATGCATTCTGTAGCTTCTTTTAAACTCATTCAGTTTCAACGGAAAATTAAAACAGCATATAATCAGAATTTTAAGTCAGTAACTGACAGGAAGATGGCTTTTCAAATATTAATATCTTTAACATGCTTTCCACAACCTTTACTAAAAATGAAAACAGAAGAATGCCACAGTGAAAAATTTACATTGTTAGTGTAGAACGGAATATTAAGTACAATTGAAATTATACTAGATTTAAATTTTTTATTTAACAGCCAAATGAAAAATTATTTTGCTTCTGTCACCTTTCCAATTAAAGATCACAGAAATAACTGATGATGCAATTTCAAG